GGTTTCCGAGGCAGTATCTCTATGGAACTAGATTACCCAGTCTTCCTTCCAAGGAGTGACTGGTGAGTTTGAACTGCCAGCCTTCTGGTTAGCAGTCAAATGCCTTATGCACTATGCCACCAGAGCTCCCAACTTACATAAAGTCAACAATTAATAGATTGTGCTTAAGAAGGAACTATACTTAAGAATATTACTCTGGTAATACTGTTAAAAAGAGCACACACTCCAGGGGAAGTCAGCTGCCACATAGTGAGAACAGACGAGGAACTATAAGGAATGACCCATGAGATGAGAATTGAAGGTCTCTTGCCAATAGCCATGCAAGTGAGCCATCTCAGCAGTGGATCTTTAGAACACTGCAGCCCTGGCCAGCATCTTGACTGCAACCTCTTGACCGGCTTTAAGCCAGAAAACCCCAGCTAGACTATTGCCAAAGTCCTGACCACAGAAAATTTAAGTAATAAATGGTATAATTTGTTACATAACAATACATAATAAAAAGGTCAAACATGAAGATGATGTATAGGGCTTTCTTTACTCCATCAAAGGGCAGAGATTATGACTAAATTTGAGTTGGAGGGAATAGGATTCTTTCTTCATTATTTAGTATCATAATCTAGTAAACCAAAGTTAAACAAGGGAGTAAAATACAAAGAGTCCCATATCTGATCCAGCCAACTTTTGATTACTTATCTCTTCCACTTTTCAAATTTAAGTCTTTGGTATGTTGTTGTTGTTGTTGTTGTTTGCCGTCGAGTCGGCCCCGACTCATAGTGACCCCTCCTTGGGTTTCCGAGGCAGTATCACTACGGAAGTAGGATTGCCCAACCTTCCTTCCGAGGAGTGGCTGGTAGGTTTGAACCGCCAACCTTCTGGTTAGCAGTCAAGTGCCTTAGGCACTATGCTACCAGAGCTCCTGTACATAAATTCATACAAATGAGTGGAAGCTACAGTTGGTAAGTTGAACTCAGGGAGGGAGGGGTGCATGATTTAATCAACCATGTATATTCAATGAATCAATTAATTATGACTATTTAATGAGGCCTCAGTTATGACTATGCAGTGAAGCCCAACCATGAACCTACAATGAAACCAATTTGAACTGGGAAGTAAGAGGGCTTCCTGGTTGGCAAGAACATCCATGTACAGGAGAGGGCCTTGCATCTTTGCAAAGATGGAAGGTCTGTGCTGGGATGTTCCCAAATCTTACCCTATGTGCTCCTTGTTTGTATCTTTTCTGTTTACAACAAACAGGTAACTGTAAATATACATAGGAACTCTGGAGGTGTCGTGGTTAGAGCATTTGACTGTTAACCAAAAGGTTGGGGTTCTAAACCATCAGCTGCTCTGCCAGAGAAAGATGAGTCAGTTTGTGTCCATAAAGATATATAGCTTTGGAAACTATGGGGCAGTTCTACTTTGTCCTAAAAAGGATCACTATGAGTTGGGATTGACTCGATGGCAGTAGCTAAGTATAGAAAAACCAGAAAACCAAACCTGTTGCCATGGAGTTGATTCTGACTCATAGTGATCCTATGGGACAGCATAGAATGACTTCATAGGTTTCCATAACTGTAATCCTCATGGAAGCAGACTGCCACATCTTCCTCCCACAGAGTGACTGGTGGGTTCAGAGCAGCTGGTAGGTTCAGACCTCTGATCTTTCAGTTAGTGGCAGAAGGCTTAAGCACTGGTCCATCAGAGCTCCTGTAAGTATAGATACACTTAGTGAATTCTGTGAATTGTTTCAGGGAATTAATGAACCCAAAGGGTAGTGAGAGCCACCAGGGCTGGTATCTTCTAATTTGACAGTCTGAAGGACTGTGTCCTTTTATCTTATGTACTCTGACCTAACTTGGGATAGCAGGATTGGAGAAGGGCTGAGTGGGCAGCCACTTTGAAGGACCATATGTTTTTAACTAGTGAGATTAGAAGCAGCTCTGGGTGGTTGGGGTCTGAGAAAGAATGTCCTTTGGTGGCTGGCAATGAGGATGAAGAAGTGAAAAGGTGGTAACTGAATCCATTTCCAGGTGGGAAATGGATTCAAACTGATCCTAACCATGCAGTTAGCAATGAAGGTGGGATTTTCCTACTCTGTCCCTTGCTTGCTGAAGTTGTATTCCTAAGGAACAAGACCTACCATATGTGATGTGTTATTGCAGAGCCTCTAGGAAGAATTAAATGGTCACTGTCCTTTTTTGTATATTTAGCCTCCAGCACTGTGACAATAAATTTGTGTTTTTTAAAGCCACCTACTTTGTGACATTTTCTTGTGGCAGCCTTAGCAAACTAAAACATGCAGTCATTTATGAACATTAATGTATATGCATTTATCTTCACAATAATCTTGTATGGTAGTCAGGAGAGATAATATCATATCATTTTACAGATAAAGAAATTGAGTTTCAGACTTGTTGTTACTTTCCAATATCACGTGTGAATCATGAAAGAAATTGACATAGAACCCAAATTTCCTAATTCCTAGACCAGAGTTTTGTTTTTTTTAAACTCATAATTCAGGTAAGTGTTGATGAAATAAAAAAATTTAAAACATTGGAAAAGGTAACCTCCTATAGGACCTCAAGTAGCCAATATATAGCATATAAGCCCACAGTATTAGTAATAAAAACTGTTAAAAGGCATTAAGAAATTGTCAAATAGAAGTAAATGGAAGCTAATAAAAATATTTTTTAATTTTACTTCTAAAAATTTTCATTAATAAAAACATCAGGAGAAGTTAATCTTGCACAGACCAGTGATACGAAATACCTGCAATCCTTACAGAAACAACAGAAGACAGACATAAAGTAATCCCTCACAGACACCCAGACACTGTGGGAGAGAGATCCAACAGATCTACATCTCAGGACCATAGTACTGGGGGACACCAGACTCAATTGGCACAACAAAATACATTAAAGTCTTGTTCCTCATCCTACATTGATGAGTAGTGACTGGAGTCTTTAAGGCTTTCAAGTGGCCATCTAAGATTCACCTAATGGTCTTCTAGTGTTGGAAGCGAAGAAGAGTACAAAAAAAAAAAAAAGGCAATTTGGAAGCAATCAGCTCTAGACACCATGGCCCTCGAGACCAGAAGAACTAGATGGTGCCCAGCTACCAATGCCAACCATTCAGGAAAAGAGCAAAACTGGAGATTCTGGATAGAGTGAGAGGAAAAACATGAAACAAAATCCAAAAACTCAAATATGACGAGAATTACTGGTCGGATGGAGTCTGGTGAGACCCTCAGTACTGGGGCCATGGGATACATTCTGGTCCTGGAATAAAACTCACTCCCAGGCACTGGCTCTCAGCCCAATAGTAAACAAGAGGTACACGCAGACCACTCAACCCAGGGTGACGCACCCACATACTCTGTGGAAATGCATCCCTTGGAGCAATCTACCATGAAGCACCCGAGGGACAACATTTGCACGAGGAAATGAAGGATACACAGGAGTGCATAACTATGAGGGGCGGGGGGGGGGATTACTGGGCAGGGAGAGGAGGAGACTGGGTTAGGGTTGGGGGTGGAAAATGGGGAGTGAAACTAAATGTACACATAATGTTGAATGTAAAACAAACTCTGTATACTTGCACCTAAAGCACACACACACACACAAATATATTCTGCTTAATTACAGAAATAAACATTTTCACCAAATCAAAAAAAAAAAAAAACTTAAAACTTGCTTTGTGTTGGGCAAAGAATCAGTCTTCAGGGAAAAAATTGACAGGAGCTTTTACAATGCAGCTAGAGACAATGACATTAAAAATGTAATAAAAGGAAAAGAGTTTCCATGCTAAGGACAAAAATGATATAGATATTAGGTCAGATTACTCAGAAGAGATACAGTCTGGAACAGGATCAGAGAGGAGAGGGGAACTGAGCAAGTACT